AAACTCAACCCTACTTACAACTATTTTTGTATTATTTGCTATTTCTTTCAGTGAGAATAAGATTCATCTCACAAAGGGGCAATAAATTAGTATAACGCTTTTATTTTAATATTTCACATTAATTGTCCCCTCAATTAGTCTTATCATGTGCGATTTTGCATTTGGTACCACAATTATTGTAATAGTACATTCCGTGCAGTTTTTCATTTCACACGTGTAATTAGCTGAAATGAAATGAAATGAAATCGTTATCGGAAACACCAGTACGCCGACGACTACTGTTTGAAATTCACTTCATGGAACTGGAGGGATGCGTATGCTAATACCTTTCGAGCCGTCACAGGCGAAAATTAGTAGGTGTAACGGGATTGCGAGTGGTTCAGGGGGCGTTATGCTCTTTGGAACAGGTTGCCGTACCACGAGAAGCTCTAAGAACGATAATAATGCCGGTACCTGCAATTTTGCGGTCGAGAATTTGTCGCGCAGCAAGAATTCGTATGAACGAAGAATGGCGGACAGACTCGTAAATCTTCGAGGGACTCTGTGCGCCATGCAGTTACGAATGCTACGATCCTTGTGCAAGGAACACTGATCCGTAGAAGGAAGCGCACAGGGTAAGCTACCTGAGGGTAATTGACCCCAGGACACAACTTGAAACAAAACTTTCTACTACTTTTCACAATTTCGCGTAAAGATCGAAATATTTGGTTGGTATCGTTTATTTCATTACTGTTTTCTTTCTATAGTTTATATTGAAAGAACCAATGGTTTGTCATTGAAATGTGTTTAACTATATTACGCAACATTTTTAAAGGATATTTCTGAAGTATGAAAAACAGGAAAGTAAACGGTATGAATGATGTAAAAATATACATACAGTAGAGACTCCTGTATCCGAACTTATAAGGAGACATAAGATGAAGGAATTTTTGGATAATAGAACGGTCAGTTTTATGATACTAATCTTCATTTATTTAAATAGAGATTAACAAAATTGACGGTCTGTTTAAATATTTATGGATTTCATATTTCTTTAGTTGCTAAATTATAGATATTTTTCAACATAGGCAACTGCGTATAATTCGATTGAACAGAGGAAAGTATAGATTGTATGGTTGCACTACATATTTACAACAATAGAGAGGAATCTGTTGCTTGGAAACACTACGTTCGTATAATAGATAGTTCGAATATTAGGATAGTAGAATAAGTCTAAATTGGGAGCAAAAGACATTTTATATACCTACGTTGAATCAAACTATCCTGCATTCTTCTACACATCATGCAAAAATTGTATTAATATGTATGGTCCAATTAAATATTGAAATTCCAATAAACTTTACTATTAGTATGTTTATCTAATACCATCTGAAACATCATTGTTGAAGTTAGAATAATGAAATGTAAACATATGTAAATAAGTACATGTGCTGACATCTGAATCATTCAAACAGGAAAATGAAAGCAGTTTGGAACGTAGGGGGTTAATACATCGTGAAAATCGTGTAGGTACTATGTATTCCTAGTCAACTTATTTGCGTTAATTGTACAGAACACAGTACAGTAAAAATTTTCGTAAAAGTTAGTACAAATTTTACTTTACCTTAAACCGGATAAAAGTTTCTGCAAAGGAAACTATTCTTTAGCATAATTTCAGTTCCATAAATTAACCTATTAAAATCTGAATTTGCCTAAAGATCCGCAGATTAGGACTGACATTATTCGAAGTTCTTGACATTAGCACTTCTTGAAATATCAGTTAGTTTAAGGTACTATATAATCATATACAAATATTAGTTTAAAGCGATTATAAAGAAAATTATTAATTTAATGTACTATATTTATTATGACTTTTATTTCTTGTAACGAATTCCTTTAATCAATTTTGTGTTTAGTACTGTTTAGACGTAGTCTATCCAGGCAGCCAAACCTACAAAACCAAATTTTGTCCAATGCCTGTTATAAAGTTATGGCTACAAGTTTGATGCAAGATTTGCTGTAAACAATTTGTGCGCACATTGACACCAACATATACAATAAATTGGCTTGCGCAAACCTTGTTCCGGTTTTGCCCTCAATTTGACATAGGTCATGTTGCAAGACTTTCTACCAATTTACTTTACCATTTTGTCAGCTGGCGTTGTTTTCAAAACCCAAGTCAAATGCGGAAACAGATGGCTATGGTTTTTTAGACAACTTTTGTCATTTATTACTGACAATTTGCTTGAAACTTGACACAACTGGTTATCAGGGTAGACTCTATACTCTAGGAACACAGAGTAGTTTAAGTTAATAATGCAAGGTATCATATAAAAGATAATGATAGAAGAAATTTCGAAATGGACCGTATAAAGTACCATACTACCAAGCTACATTTCTTTGGTTCACTTTTCTGAAGAAAAATAAATTATTAATAAGAACATTATATCAAAAAATATCTCGAAAAGTTTTCGTCTTTTACAATTTCAAATTTTTACCAAACGTCTACGAAATCAGCAATAGCTCGTAAACTTGATAAACAAAAACCGCATAAAAGACATTGCAATTGTACATAATTAAACAAATGTTAAAAAGCAAGATATTTCATAGTAACTCGATTGTGAAGGCATTTCATATAATGCGCGCCTTAATACCACCCAAGCCGCATTGCGATCATCTCTATCCGTTACGATCAGAGAAATTAGCTAAAATCCAGAAACCGTTCTCTGTAACGCTCGAAATCCACCACCAGCCGTCGTTGGGAAAGAGAAAGATAAGTAGAAAGAGAGGGGAAAAAAAAAGAGGGAGAGCGGCTGTGAAAAAGAAGAAAAAAAGAGGAAGAGAGGCATATACCTGTTCCACGCGCTCGCGCGCACACATACGATCGCAACCGTGGGTCCACGCGCCTGTGCGCGCTCGCGCGCTCCCTTAAGCACGCGGCCTGGCGAGCACGCGTGCGCCCTAGTACGCGCACGTACGCAACCAAGCACGCACGCGGGATCACAGGGGTGGGGAGAGGGTCGATGGATGGGGATCGGCGCGCGCCATGGGCCCGTGGTGGGGAGAACGGCTCACGTCTTGCACCCCCTGCCCTCTTCTGCCCCGCGGTGCAACCAACTTCCCACTGCTTGGGCCCACATATCCTCCGAACCCCCTTTTCTCCACCACCGGTGAAGTCTCGCCCATCGCTTCTCTACACCCCCTCTACCCGTTTCTTCGTCTTCTTCGTATGCTTCGTTCGCGTCTCTTCCCTTTCTGTCGCGTTCCTCCAGCGTACACGCGTCTCTCTCGGCCAGATCTCTGGACCAGCTTTTCTTTCTCCCGGTAACTGTTCAAATTTCGATCCCCGGGACCACGGTGGGGATTGGACCCTTACGCGTGCGCCAGTGTCTCTCACGTTGGACAGAAATTGTTTGGAATATATTAGGAAAAATGACGTTTCGATGAATTCATTGGTTTTATTATGTCGAGAGCGACCTTTGTTTGTACGGACAGGATATCGATTGTTTCAAAATGCTATCACATGACTGAAGAGTACTGGAGCTGAGTGATGAGTAGATTGTGGATGTTTATTTGAATTGATGTTTTTATAAATTCATAAGAGTAATAGGAATCTGAAATAAATTAATGTTCCCTATTGAGAGTATCGAAATTCATACAAATTCTTAATTTATAGCATATGCAGTTCACAGTCTCGTCGGAAGTAGTATAGTCATCACATATGAGCAACGTTGTTTAAAACCTACTATTATTTAATGGAACCGAGTGTTGGGCATAAATTTATGATTCATTCTCATGATATAGACATTCATCTGATTTCAAATTTGTTGAATTGAAATATTTCATCTTGATCTTCTATGTCAACGTTGACCAGTTACTTGTATCATTGAAATTGATTGAATAGATCAGAAAATATTTTATAATAATGTGCACAAAATTATTACCTTTTATAGAAAATGAAACTATGTTTACCATTCCTTATTAAACAATGTGACCGCCAGCACATTCATGACATTATCTTTTATACCGATACTATTTATAAACTGTTAGACTCCAGTAATATCTGAACACACCAATTGTCTTTTTGTTCTTCTCTCGTATCTGTTTGCTCAAGAATTACTACGGAATTTCAACAACTAAAACAATTGAATCCTGCATTTGCAATATATAATAGAAGAGGATATTTAAATTGGAACCAGTACCTTAGAACTGGTCGGAACCGTTGAATTAAAACTAGTAAATCAAGTTTAAACAACACGACACCTTTTATTATCAAGTGGAACGAATACGTTCGTTAATATAACGGTTTTCATAAAAATACTCAATTTAATATAATGTTTCGTACTATGACCCATTACCTTTGCTGTTTTTGCTAATCGTTTTGTGTTTCAATTTCAAGTAGAACCACACGGCAAAAAAAAATTCATTTTCATCAAAGCTACTAATACACTTGGAGCAGCAGCTGATTTTCAAAGTTAGCTTCTCTAACTTCCAAGAAACTCGAGGCACGAGTTATCGGCTCGATAACGCCTCGGGGTATCATCTTCAAATATCCAAATCAGCAAACAGATTCGAACGTAAGAGCACGAGGGCAATTGAAGATGAGAATCTCGGGCGTAGGGCCTCTGGTGGGGATTCCAGGAGTATGAGGCACTGCAGACCGCCAGGGCGGAAGGGAAGGGGGAATCCAGGGGTTTAGGGCCCTGGATCGAGTATGGGGCCCATGGAGGGGATAGGCGCGTGCCCGCCCTGGCTATATAAGGCCTCGAACCCTTCTTGGCAAGGCATTTCGGGAGCCAGGTCCGTACCATCAGCATCGAGGGTGCGGCCGTCTACTTAACTCGTGAAACACTCCGTTCATAAACAAGCGTTTTCCACTGTTTTTCCCCTCCATTTGGTTCGTGTCGCGTGTATTTGTCCAAGGTGTCGAAAGGGGGTTAAACTGTTCCACTGTTCACCGAGGATTCCTCAAGGTCACCTGGCACGCGCTGCCGCGCTCCTTGTAGTGGGGGATCAGTGATATGACCTTAGTGGCGTCGAAGGAGGGGAACGTATTGCCCATCATGTTGAGCGTTCAGCAGCAGCATCATCACCATAATCTCCATGGGTCGTCTGCAACCAGTGCTCAAAGCCACCGCGGCAACGTGATCGTCTCCACGAGCAGTATGCCGTCCAATGACATGAAGATACAGCAGCACGGTTGCAAGCGATCCAAGATCTACGGACAGACCGGACCCTATGGGGCCGTTCCTCATCAGCCAGCTTCGGTGGCGAGAAGAAACGCGAGAGAAAGAAATCGTGTGAAACAGGTGAACAACGGGTTCGCCACTTTGAGGCAACATATCCCTCAAAGCGTGGCTCAAGCTCTCGGAGGTAGCACTGCCGGTACTCACGGTGGTTCGAGGGCTGGTAGCAAGAAGTTGTCGAAAGTCGAAACGCTCAGGATGGCTGTCGAATACATTAGGAGCCTTCAACGTCTTTTAGAAGAGCATGACAGTGGGTCTGACGCGAGTGTGTCTTCGCCAACCTCATCGCCACCTTCGTCCACCTCTTCGTCCACGTGCGGCTCTGGTAATGGACTTGGAGTAGAGACGAGTCACCATTCACCTGAATTAAGACTGCGCGGCAATGTCAACGAAATCAGATATCACAGTCCTGATATTCACCGACATCTCAGACAGAATCCTAGCCCAACGTTCGTGCCGACTCCTTGTTCCGAAGCGTCCAGTTCACCTACGCCGAGTTTTGTTTCCGAGGCCTCGTCAGCTGGCAGCCAGGGATACGGAACTTCCGGCAACCTTTACACCACCCATTCCGATGGTTACGATAATTACGAGCCTATGAGTCCTGAGGACGAGGAACTGTTGGACGTTATCTCCTGGTGGCAACAAAGTCAATGAGGGGTGTCCACGTCGCCTCCCAGGTGGCTCTTTCTTTTTTTCAAGGTTAGTGTCGTGTTTCACTTGTTGACGTTCTAATGACTGTTTTGTTCAATTTGTGGGCAGCTTTAGACGGTAATTTTTGACAAGTTACCATCGATTTTTTTGAAACCCTACGCTAACGTGACAATGTACTGAATTCCATACAAGAAATAATGAACTATTGGCGAATAATCAATTACTGCATATATTTCTGAGGTAATAGGAATTTTATAGATTTTATGTATTTCATTCAAACACGTGTTTATTAAGATTCATCTAAATAGAATAGAGTTCAATGGTTGTAATAGGAAATTTGCTCTCGTCATCTTCCTTCTTAGAAATAACGTAACATGTCGAAATACCATTTCTGTGTAATTGTATAAATTATACAGAAATATTATTTGTTATTTAAACATAAAAAGAGGTAAGAAGTAACGGCCACTTCTTTCCAACTAACCTAACAATTTTCAATTTACGATCATTAGTCTGTCAATGTTTCTGTAAATTAATATTTTTATAAACAAGTTTCATCCATTAACTGTTCTATTAGATAATGCATACATATTTAATCTAATTACCGATTATTGAAATATCAATGTTTTTATTTTGTTTGTTATTTAATTCGTACGTAGCATTTATATATTTCAATATTTTCTTGACTACTTAATGAATTACTTCAGATTTGTTAAAAAATTCGGAAAATTTACTGAATTAATAAATTACCAGTGGTTAAAATTATCAAGTACAGTAAATCATGCCTAAAATGACACTAATTAAAGCTACATGGACGAAAATAATAGTCGCCATATTATTTTTTGTGATTTCTATCGAGAATATTCCAGTTATTCAACGTTCCAGTCACTCGGATTTTTTTCGGAAAGTTTCTCACCTCCCTCGCTTTTCAACGACCGTAAATTTTATCCGTGAGGTAACATCCGCGTTACCGAGGAAGTTCAAAGGAGTTCCCGACCAGATTTGTGACCTTGCCCCGTGACAATGGTGCGCGCGACCCCTCGCTGAAGCTCGAGCCATTCAAATCGCAGACTCCATTCAGAGGGTATACATTCGAGAAGCGACGCTTTTGTGCCCGATTTCTTTCACCATCCGCTAACACACATGCCAGTCTTGTATGCGTGTGTGTGTGTGTGTGTCAGTGTCGTTCCTACCGTTTTTTCATCCCTCCGCAACCCTCAAGCATCGCCTTCACGAAATTTTGCCACCTATCAACGTCTTTCCTTTCAAAAGCTTCGATTTCTTTTCCCAGTGATTTTACAATTTCTGGCGGATCACATTCTGCTTGCACCTTCGATTTCATCGTACCCTGTTTTTTAGGCTCAGCGAAATTTTGGAATTTATTATGGTTGCACAACGGTCCCCGATTTCTGACAATTTTCGAAATTTAAGAATCGAAGGTCCATTTAAGTTTGACCTTAATCTTAAAGGACGTTATGTTCTTCGCTGAACATTTCTTCGTTATTCACTGTCTTCCTTCGTTTTTCGGTTACTCTTCCGTCTTTCTCCGGCAAGAGACGATTTCGCCCGCTGCGTTTAACCTGAATGCATCTTTCAGGATATTTCAGTCTCCCTTTTGTGGGTTTTTGAACCGGTACGCTATTCTTTCGTCTCTCTCTCTCTCTCGTTGTCTCCCCTACGATTTCTTCTTTTTCGTTAGAGTCCCTTCCAGCAAAACCGCCCTTACCTGAAAATCATCCCCTGCTTCCCTTCTATACCTGCGGCGACCTTCGACAGTCCCGATTTCGACAGGAATAAATTTATAAACTGGTATCGGTCGCGAAACAGTACAAGTTGGTAATAAAACCGACGAAAGTACCGAGACCGGCGAATAAATAAAACTGTATAAAAAACCGTAATTCATAGTAGGTAAAGGAAACTTTCGAGAAGAAAATGATGTATTTTGTTATTTTAGCTGAAACTAATTGAAGATATATATTTAACGTATCGATTCTTATTGTTTGTTACAGAAGTCAGCCAAAGGGTGACACGATGAAGCAAAAGGGGGCGACGAAAAGGCTGTTCCACTAACTGTGATCTAGTCATATTAATTTTTGTACAGATATAATTTTAAAGCGCGTCGTATTGTCAGTACCTTAAGGGTAGTTTGCTTCTAACACGTTGACCGCTGACATGTACAGAACTTTCTGCGAAACCACTTTTTCAATGGAACAGAAAGACTGTGAGTCGTGATTTGTCACTGTGCTTATCAGATGTGATTCTAACACGCTGAGAACTAATTTTGATAATGCTTCAATTAGGAAAGTTACATAGATTTTCACGATATTACATGAAACTTTGTCAGTCAACGTGTTAATGATGCAATCGTCGACGAAGTTTTCTATTATCTGTCGACCTGTAATTATGAAAATGTTTTAGAAATTGTAAGATGATGTCGTATCGACATTAAGAAACATCCTCGAAGGATGCAGCATTCCAGAGTGCCTTAGACGTTTTTAATCTCTACAGTTTTTCGCAATAACTAACAGCAAGTGTTCTCTTTTAAAAGACAATCTATTCCAACAACGAAGAAAGCTCATTGTCAGTTAATAAATTTGTTTAAATATCCAACGTTGTAAATTTTATGTATGTTACGAGCACTACGCCAGAATATTTATGTAAATTCGGGGAATTATTTAAATACCGTTCTCGCGAACTAAGAAAGGTCTTATTGTAATATAATTTTGTAATAATATTGTAAATGATATATATTGAATGGAATCGAAGCAGATGAATTGCAGAAAATGTAATTTTATCGTGACAGTGCCTTCTTGTAAATAGTGAGAAATAATTCGTTAAATATATTGGGCAACGTTATGAAGAATGAAACGATTTTGTTCTTTCCTTCCGGCATACCATTATCCTGAAATCATGAAACGCTATTAATACTATTACAATGCTTTATTATTCCTTACGTAATACATTATTACTTTACTATATACTTTCTTCATTCTAACAATTAAAACTATTAACTTCCTATCATTTATTATTATAATTTCGGTTTATTAGTACCTAACGTTAATTTAACTAAACTTTTTAATACTTTAATGAAAATAGTAATTTTAAACAAAACTCCTCGTACTTGTTACCTTGATACTATGAATCTGCATCACCATCTTATTAAAAAATGTATTTCCCAGTCGCATATCTAATAGTAAAATTTTTGTGTTCCTTCTGTGACGAATAGAAGGACACTCAAATAAATTGATATATTAGTTCTAGCGTTCAAGGGCTAGAGTTGAAATAAAAGTTTTCATTGAAAGGTGCTAATACAGAGATTTATTTCAGCAATGGTCATGACAAGTTGTCACAAAATTTTCGTGGCACCTGACTTCGTGGTAGAATCAGGTAGTATGATTATATTGACGGTCAGAGTTTTCGAGGAGCAGTCATTGTTGTCAGTAACGGTACCTATCACTGGCAATGCGTCTCGATTGCTGCATCTATCCTTCAATAAACGAACTTCCACTGGTGTCATTTCGTTTTCAGGTAGATTACTAACCTGTCCTAACGGACAAGATAGTCTTAGGTAGAAATCCAAACCCTCAGCTAGGTATCGATCGATCGTTCACATCGTGAAATTTTACCACGTGAAAGCAAGAACAAGCGCATATAAAATTGTAGAAAATTGTTTCATCTAATACAGTGCAAAGTGAAAATGGTTCCGCATTTTTCTATAAAGAAATGGTGGATTACAATAGTGTTGATACAAATAGTGAATTTGTGATTTAATATTAAAGAAAGTTAAATTATGTGAATTTTTCATTCTTACCGTGAAAAAATAAATTTGAAATACTCTGCATACTATGCGTGAGAATTATTTAAATACTCAAGTATGTTAAATAATCCCATTTGATTACACATATTTATCAAATAATAATTAGTTAATTTATTCGAGAAAACACATAACTTGCTTTTTAATTATAACATTTATTTACTATCTAATAGAATGATTTTTCATTTTATCTGCTCATTGAACGACAATTTTCTAAACATTTGTAGAAGAAAATGTTTATAATATTATTTTAAGTATTTGTTACACGTAAATAATTATTTTGAAATAACTTTAATTTGTTTTTATGAAAAGGAGTGACGTACCCTTGTAGATGACTTTGAGATCACGAATAATGTAGATTGGAAATAATTCAGTACTTTTTATTAATTCAGTAATTTCTTACATCTCGTCAACTGTTTTTAATAAGGTTTATGAAGTAGCAGGACCAAAAATAAAGTAGATAATAAAAATGACATTCACGGATAATTCATGACGGGAGAGAATTCTGATAGTGTAAGATAAAAATGAGCAAACATCGTACGGTATTGGAAATTCACGTGGAAAATGATATCATTGTACCGTTTTCGTATTTATATCAGCGTATTTGATGACTCACACATTGTTACTTCGATAGCATGGGTAAATTCGAAGGATAAATCGATCATTGTTAGTCAATATAAAGAAGTTCTGTTGTTTATATCATTCGTATTATTGATTTACAATCATTGATAAACGTCTTGGTCCGAATTATTTGTACAATCGAGCAGTCATTACAATAATACTGGAATTTAAATTATATCAATTAACATTTAAATTTGATGAGTTGAAAAGTAGCATGAGGATTAAAGAATATTTAAAGAAAATATTCAAAAATAACAACTTTGAGGTGATTGTTACTTGAAAATCAGATATTAATATGTATAAGCAAGCTCATGAAATAATTAGTGTTACTAAATGTCCGAACGACCAACAGCAAGGAAATTAATAATGTCAGACATTTCAATTGTGTTGTATCGTTGCGTATGGTAGTTTCCGAAACTATGATGTTTCAAAAGTTGCTTCAAACAAGTCTTTGGCCGTATCTTAACATACCTACATAAGTAACATTTGAAAATCAAATTTTTTACCAGAGTAGTTCAATTTTCATTTATTAAAGCACTCCTGCTTTTCAAATAACGTTCTTTACTAGTAA